GACTTTATTTTTTTAAAAAAAAAAAAAATTTACCCGAGTTGTTCTCTTGAAATTGAATTTTGAAACTAATAACACAAGAATTAATTTACAAGAAGAAGAAGAGCTCACGTCTATTAGCAACTGGATTCTGAGGCCTCTCTTCCTCAGCTCCCTTCACCGGATTCATCGAGTTATTATGCATGTTCGCCGGATCTACCAGCAAGCTCGGAGGCGGACATGCAATCTCATCCTTCAAAAAAATAAAAAATAAAAAATAAAATAAAAATCAAGAACCCACAAAACCCTAATCACCAAAAAAAAAAAAAAAAAAAAAAACCAAAAAAATAAAAAATAAAAAATAAAATAAAAATCAAGAACCCACAAAACCCTAATCACCAAAACCGGAACCCTAACCCTGAAACATCTAAAGAAAATGAAAAAGGTAACAAAATTGTACCAAAAGATTGTGATGTGTCGGAGCAAGAAAGGCGTGGCCGAGGTGCAGCTGGTTCGCAGCTGGAAGCAGCAGCCCTCTCATGTTGACCGAGAGAAGGTTGGTGCAGTGACCGCATCTCACGGTCACCGTCTTGAACAGGCTGCTACAGGGAACACTCACCTGCAAAAATTAAAAAGCCCAACAAGAAAACGAAAGGAAAAAAAAAAAAAGATCATGAACTAATTAAACTCTCATAAACGTAATCGTAATCACAAAAGACTCGGTTTGTATGCTCACTGCAAGAACGGTGTCGCAGTAGGTGCAGTGGACGTAGCAGAGCTGCTCCGAGGGAGGCGGAGAGAAGTGGTCCAGCTGGGAGAAGGAGGCGGCGGCCGAAGAAGAAGACATGATCACTTGACGATTAATTAGTACTTCTTTTTGCGTTGAAATATTATGGAAGGAGGAGGGTGGGGGGCCTTCGAGTAGCTTTTTCTTTCTTTTTTTTTTTTTTTTTTTTTCTCTTCTTCTCTTCTGCTTCTCTTCTCCTAATATAATTTCTATTGACTTTGATGTGATGAGCTGATTTGATGGATATCCCCCTCCCTTTGATTTGATGTGAATCTTCCCTAACCTCGGATCTGTTGTTGTTGTTGTTGGTGGTGGTGGTGATTTGATAGTATTTGAATTAAGAAAGGAAAAGGGGAGGGGAGGGGAGGAGAAAGAACCAAGTGAGAGGGAGCAAAGTCAGGAAAGGGGACTGGTGGATGATAACTACTGTGTGAGGGGAAAGAGAAAGATATAGAGAGTGGCCACAACCCCCAACGAGAGCAACAGTACTACTACATTAAAATATGTGAGAAATGATTTTTGCATTCCTTTTATTTTTATTTTTTGGAAAATATTGAATAATGAAGAAAAAGAAGGAATCCGAGTGAATGAGTGATGGGGAATTTGTCTTGGGGACTTATACGCTGTAGATGATGGGGCGTGATCTAATGTATATATGGGTATAACATGCTATATATAATAATCTCATCTCTATCTCATTATGAGTTTGGTAGGGCTAACATGCGCGCATCTAGGGTTCAAAGCCCCCAGGTAGGTAACTTAATTGCGGTTCAAGTGTATGCAAAAGACGAGCATTAAGGAATGGATTTGTTGAGATCAGCACTTTGGGACCGCAAATCTACGTTAGTATGGCAACAATCAATGGATGGGTGTACACTAGTCAAAAAGTATAAATAAATAGTTAGATTTGCCCGTAGACGAAGTTCCCGGGGGGAAACACTAGAAATTAGTTTAATTTAATAAACATCATGTACTCTATACAGTGAATGGTTATGATAATTTGTTCTGGATCGATGAAGAATGAAAATAAGCTCAAATTCATGGAGACATGATGAGAGTAATCATCTTTCCTTGACTTTTATATCGCGTGTTGCAGATTATGAACACAATTAGAGGCGAACACAACATAAATCACGAAAACAAAAATGACAATCATTGACATATTGGTCCAGAGTCAGTCCTACGTTCTCGGGCAAAAAACAAACCAAAATCTACTAGTTAATTAAGAAGAGAGATTGGAAATCACATAGAAGAGATCAGACATCACAAAATTCTCTCTCACATGTGATAGAAATCAACCTCTGGGATCTATGTTCTATCTCTTAAAGAATTGTTTAGTTCCCTGGAGAACCCTATATCTATAGTCTAGTTCACTTAGAATGAGTCCCATGAAATTCTAAACAAATCTCATTAGAATAAAATTACTGAATAATTGTAAACTTTCTAAAATATCAAAACAACCATTAAGCACCTACTTGCACTATCTAAAGCTGGTGCTTCAAATTAGAAGCCGTTAGAGCAGTTAGGCGCAAGTTAGTGTTGATGCTAAATTGCGCCTTCTGCTGAGATCAAAAAATGGCTAAAAAAAACAGTGGGAAAAAGATTCTTTCTATTGGTCTCTGAGCATCGAATTTGGTTTCGTCATCTCCTGCTGATCATTTTGATGGTAGTTTTATGGATCTTGATGAAGATTTTCTCCCTGAAATGGGATCTACTGGTCCTAAAGGGGAGAAGAAGAAGAAGTTGATGAGTGAGATTCTTGAAGCCACCACTCCTCAGATTGATCCTCTGAGAGAAGGTTATCAATCTCGTAATCTTTGTAATTCTCAAAATTTCAGCTCTGCTAGGGTTTCTTGGGCAGAAGAAGTTGATTTGGTGGACGTTCCCTCAAGTTCTTTTTCTTCTATTCATCCATCTGATGATTTAAAGATTACTGAAGTATCTGGTAATACTCCTTTGAATTCTGCTCTGGATTCTTCTATTCATCCATCAAGTAATCTAAAGATTGATGAAGTATCTGGTATTAAACCTTTGATTTCTGATCTGGATTCTGCTTTTGTTAAAGATTTATCTACTGAAAATTTAGATAAGTCTAATGTGGATCCAAATTATGATAAAATTGCTTCTCCATCAGTGATTCCTAATCCAGTTGAAGTGAATAAAGACACAAAGAAAAGTTGGGTTAATTTGTTTGCTGATAATAGGAAGACCGGTAGCGGATTGAATTTGGATTTTATTCCTCCTGATACTAATAATTCAGTGATTTTTGATGATGATGAATGGAATGAAGGAAGTTCCATTTGGGAATTCTCTCTAGTTGGCCGTGTTTTGGGCTTAAATGCTAGTTTCAAAGCCATGGAGAATTTTATTCAGAAAGTTTGGTTCAAAATGACTATACCTGAAGTATGTTTGCTTAGGGCTGGCCTATTTCTTTTTAAATTTAGAAATAAGGAGGAAATGAATGAAGTTCTTGCCAATGGTCACTGGTTCTTTGGTTCTAGGCCTCTTTTACTTAAGCCTTGGACAATTGGTGATGATTTTGATAAAATTGACTATTGTACTTATCCTATGTGGATCCAGTTTCCTGCACTTAGATTTAATTTGTAGAATTCTAAGTGTATTAGTAAAATTTCTAGTCTTATTGGTAAGCACATCACTACTGATAAACTCACAGCTAATAGACAAAGACTTGCTTATGCTAGAGTCTTAATTGAAGTGGACTTGCATGCTACTCTCCCTGATCAAATAATAATACAAAGTCCAAATGGAAAGCAATATCAGCAGAGGGTGATTTATGAAATGAAGCCAAGATGGTGTGATTTCTGTAAATCAGTGGGACATGATGCTCTACATTGTAGGAGGCAAGTTAGAAAAGTAAAGCAAAAGTATCGTGCGTGATCCAATAGTCATATCCAACATCACCTTCGCGCACTACTGATAAACTCACAGCAAATAGACAAAGACTTGCTTATGCTAGAGTCTTAATTGAAGTGGACTTGCATGCTACTCTCCCTGATCAAATAATAATACAAAGTCCAAATGGAAAGCAATATCAGCAGAGGGTGATTTATGAAATGAAGCCAAGATGGTGTGATTTCTGTAAATCAGTGGGACATGATGCTCTACATTGTAGGAGGCAAGTTAAATCTCAGAAATGGGTTCCTAAGCAAAAGACTGTTGTTTCTGACAATACTGTGGTATCTCAGATGAATCAATTTCAGGTTGGTAAAAAATATGCTCAAGCAAATGAGGCTGATTTAAAAGTGGGAAAAGGTAAATCTGTGGTACATTTTCCTGGAAATGAAGCTCTACAAACTGGAGACTGCAGTTCTCTTTTTGTGCATGATGTGCATGTTTCAGATATTTTAAATATGGAAAAAGCTAAATCTGGTATAAATATCTCTGGAATGGATGCTCATCTTCCTGTTCAGGTGATGCATGCTTCAACTCCAAATGTAGAGTTTCAGCAAGTTGGAATGGATGCTCATCTTCCTGTTCAGGTGATGCATGCTTCAACTCCAAATGTAGAGTTTCAGCAAGTTCCCCTAAATATGGTGTACATGTATCTGTAGGCGTCAAAAAATACTTACAGACATCCAAATACCACTCAAGGCAAGCCGCTCTCTTAATCAGAAGGGAATGATTCAAAGGAAGCGAAACAACATGGAAGAACATGTACACACAAACAAACAGCGCTTGGTGTCGCGGCTCCGGCGCGGCAGCTCATGGCGCCGCGGCCATGGCGCGGCAGCATGTGGTGCCGCGGCTAAGGCGCGGCAGCATATTGTGCCGCGGCTAAGGCGCGACAACCTAAGGTGCCGCGGCCATTATAGGGCGTGCTACAGCAGTTATAATGCAGTTATCTGATGATTATTTGAAGCTCACGTGGCAGCATATTAGAGATAGAACGTGTGCTGACATGGACAGTCAGTTAAACCACGAAAAAGGTGGTTAAAGGTCGTGGGAGAACAGTTTCAAACACGTATGAACGTGGGTGTAACTGCCCCTTTAGCCGCGGCAGTGTTGACTGCCGCGCCCTTTAGCCGCGGCAGTGTCGCGGCAGTGTCGACTGCCGCGCCCTTTAGCCGCGAAAGCATCAACTGCCACGCCTAAAGGGATAGTTGTTGATTGGGCTATTTCTTCAGTTATCGTCTAAGGAGGCTATAAATACCCCCCTATGGCCATCATTGACAAGGGCTGAGCATTTTGAGAGCAGATTAGAATAGAGAGGCTTGAGTTTTGGTGAATTAGAGCAAGAAAGAGAGTCTTCCTTCTTCACAAACATCCTCAAGAAGTTTCTAGCGAGTCCTAGAGATCTAAGCTCAGACTTGATCTTTGGAAGAGTGAACATCTTACATCGATAAGATATTCGCTTCAAATTCTTACTTCGATAAACGAAGGAAGAATCATTAAACCCCTCACGGTTCAATCAGAATCTGTGATTTGGTGGTCCACGAGTCAAAGCGCTCCCGACACAGGTAAAGATCCCACGCAAGCAGCGATCCAAACAACGATCCTGCGTTTGTTTCTCAAGAGTTGTAATTTTCATTTTGTTGTGTAAAAGAGGTCTTATAAAAAGACTATTTCTTTGAATTTGTTGTAATCGACCGAAGATATAATGAATTCCATAACAAAGTCAACTTTTGACGCAAACAGTATCAGATTCAGATTTTGGGACATTTACCTGTAATGCTTCAGATGTAGTGTTACAACAAGTTTCCCCTATGCATACTTTTTCTGGTAACTTGCAAATAGGAAACCCCTGGAAACAAGTTCAAAAAAGTGGAAAAAAAATGCATACTTTTTCTGGTAACTTGCAAATAGGAAACCCCTGGAAACAAGTTCAAAAAAGTGGAAAAAAATTCTTTTTCTCCTTTGATCAACTTGGCAAGTGGTATTAATCCCTCTACAATTGATAGGGGGGATTTGAGCAAATGAATTTATCTTTTTGGAATGTAAGGGGTTTAAATAAACCCCTTAAACAACATCTGGTTAAGTAATATATATCACAATATCACCTATCATTTCTTGCTTTGCTAGAAACAAAAATCAAGGAGAACATTCTGCCAGGTGTTACCAAGAAACTTGCTTGCAATTGGAAATGGTATGCTAATGGTAGTTCTACTGATAAGGCTAGGATCCTTATCTTATGGGATCCTAATGTTCTGGATATTCAAGTTATTCACTGCTCTCCCCAGTATATTTCTTGCCATGCTAAATCTCATGATGGTAAACTTGATTGCCTTATTACTTCAGTCTATGGATACAACCAAGCTGAAACTAGAAAAGAGCTATGGTTAGATTTAAACCAGTTTTCTCAATCAATTGGTCAAACTCCCTGGATCCTCTGTGGGGATTTCAATGCTCTGATTAGTGATGATGAAAAGTTGGGAGGAGCTATATTGTCTGATGCTGACACAATGGATTTCAAACTCTTCATTGATAATTGTCACCTATCTCATATGAAGACTTTGGGCTCTTTTTTTACCTGGAGTAATAAACAAGGCCCAGATACAAGGAATTGGAGCAGATTGGATAGAGCTCTTATTAATGATACTTGGATTACCAGGTATAATTCTGACCATGCTGAGTT